TTAGAGACTAGGGGCATTTTGGTAAAGCGTCAGCTCGGGCCTTTATTGAAATTAGATTTTGTTCGTGAAATCTTAAAGCAAGTATGAATTGATAAAAAGATAGAGCATCTCTTAACCTCTTTGGGGATATAAGGATCATTAGAATTGGGCGTATAAAGAAGGAGTTATTGCATTCAGAAGATTTCAAGGTTGAAGGCAAAACCCTAGTATATGGGGCATACTAGTGCGAAGGTATGTACGTTGGGCATACCTCAGTGTATGTTGGGCATACGAAGGCGAAGGATCAGGATATTAAGAAGAGTACGCTAAGCGTACTAGGAGTACACAGGGTGTACTCCAGATTCATGCAAAACCTATTTTAGGGATTTGGACCCTATTTAAGCTCATTTTCTCTTCACCAAACCATAATACCTTCATCCTCCACCCATTTCTAACCCTAGAATGGAACCTTAAGTTGAATTTGGTGATTTTGAGCTTAGTATGTGCTTGATGGATGTCTTGAGAAGGAGAAGAAAAAGAGAATCATTTGGAGTTGTGGCTTGATCTTCTAGATCCAAGAGTATCCTTCCATTTGCAAGCTTCCAAAGGTAAAAATCTTTGAACTTGATGATATTTGTGTTTGGATCTATTTTATGGTGTTCTTTGGAATTGTTAAGTCCTTTGATGAAAATGTGAGCTTTTGATCTACTCCAGAAGTAGTGGATGTTAGATCTAACCTCCATTAAGGTCCCTTATTCATAAAAACGGAAACTTTATGAAAGGTTTTGGTCCATGCATGTATAAGCTCTTATTTAGTTCCTTTTTCAAGTGTTGAGTCCCATTAAATCATGTTTGTGAGTAAAGTTGGAAACTTTACTGGTTAAGACCCTGGTTAGGGACCAGATCTGTATGTTGGACATCTTGACTTAACCCATTAAGAGCAAAGTATGGGTTTTTCGACTCCTGACTAGTACGCTGGACGTAAAAGGAAGTACGCTCAGTATAATGAGAGGATGGTGCATCAAGTTGTTGTATGTAGCGCTTTTAGGTTGAGTACGCGGGGCGTACGTCTTTAGTATGCTGGGCGTACTCCTCATAAGGACGTTTTGGTATTTTGAGCTATGGGTCATTGTTGATTTTTCATAGTTTGGGCCTTGTTGGGCCATTAGATTCTTTTTGGGCTTCTGGTTGGTATCTTTTGGTCTCCTTTGGATGTTAGGCCCATAAAGGGGTTTTGGGGGCCCAATTTGGATAATTGGGCCATATTTGGGCTTTGGGTAATTAATGAGATTTTGGGCTTTCAGACTTTGGGTTATCAGGTCACTTACTGGTATGAAATTTGTATCTTGTTAGTTGGTGCGAGGACTATCCAGTTCGGCAGTGTGAGTAGTCATTGGAGTATCAGGGGGTTGTGGTGAGTTTCCTTACTGTATTTACAGGTCCAAGGCACCAAGGCCGGTCCATCGGTTTGATATACTGTTATCCTCTTATATGTTTGTTTTTGATATGCTTGTCTGGTAGATCTGTAGGACTACATGTGCTTTTGTCTGTATGATTATCGATATATGTATGGGTAATTGTGTTGGGCTGAGGTTGTATTGCTTTGTTATGTAGCTAACAAACCCTGGAGCATTCTAGATGTGAGCTGAGGGTCGGGTAGGGAAAACCAAACTCATACTTAGGGCTTAGTAGCATTCAAGATTTGAGTTGAGGGCTGGCTAAGGTTAGCCAGACTCACACTGAGGGCTCAGTAGCAGTCCAGATGTGAGCTGAGGGTCAAGTAGGTAAAGCCAGACTCATAATGAGGGCTTAGTGGCATTCCAGATATGAGCTGAGGACCAGGTGGTATGCCAGACTCATACTGAGGGTTAAACAATGGTATTCCAGACTGATGACTGAGGGAGTAAGCCAGGCATAATTTGTCAGCCTTGAAGGAAAGCTAGACTTATATTGTGGGCTCGGGGGCAAGCCAGATATGAGTTATGAGCCTAATAAGTAAGCCAAACTCATATTATGGGTTCAGGGGAAATTCAGTCTTTTAGTTGTGGACCCATTACATGCTGTTACATTGTATATGCTATCTGTTTTTGTGTCGGTACTTTGGGGAAGTCACTAAGCTTTTTGCTTACAATTTTGGTTATGATTTCAGGCACTTTAGAGAATCATGGCAAGGCGATGGTGTGACCATACACATCTTGATTTTATGTCATTGATCTTAGGAGACACTGATTTTAAATAATGTTTTTGGAAACAATGTCTTTGTATACACTTTTATTACTAAATGGGTTGTTTTGAAAATCTTTAATTATTTGAAATTTTGAGGATGTTACAGTTACCTCACCATTGATGGATATGATTAATGAGGGCTATGCAGAGGTATTGAAAAAGGAAAATTGGAAGACTGATCGGATTAAGGGGCAGATTATGTTGTTTGTCAGATATTGCCAATGATTATTGACTCAGTGTGGCAGGGTTTGGGTTCTGACATTTGGTGGGGTGAGGTAGAAGATTTAGGAGGAGGCGCATAATTCCAAGTTTACGATCCATTCGGGGGGCACAGAGATGTACCAAGACCTAAGATTAAGTTATTGTTGGCCCTGCATGAAGTAGGACGTTGCTTGGTTTGTTGAGCGGTGTTTGACTTGAAGGAAGGTCAAAGTCGAGCATTAGAGGCCTCACGACAAGGCCAGTGGTTACCCATCCTCAATTGGAAATGGGAGGAGATTACCATGGATTTCATCAAGAAATTACCCAAGACGACGCAGGGTATTGACTCTATTTGGGTTATTGTAGACAGGCTGACCAAGAGTGCACAATTTATTTCAATTGCTGAAAGTATATCCGCCGAGAAATTAGTGGATATTTATGTAACTCTTGACCCATCTCACATCAATCACCCGACCCCTACCTCTTATAGGTAGTTTTAGACAAGTTTCTTTTGAAGTATATACCCGCATGCCAAGTATGGTTCGTAACAATCTATCTTCAGGGGCATACGATGATTCTTTCACCATTTGGGGCGTTAATTTACCTACTAAAATATCACCTGTTTCCACCCAAGATCCCAACATTACAATTCCATTTTTGTCTAAATTTCGGAGTAAATGGACTTCTAAATGCGGTATTTCATTAGTGACCATTTTGGAGCCTTGGTTAATATGAATTTCATATTTACGTATGTGAAAAGAAGTATAAATATCTTCACATACTAAGCGCTCACTAATGAGTACTGCATCTTCAAAATTGTAACCTTCCCATGGCATATAAGCTACTAATATGTTTTTCCCCAAAGCGAGTTCGCCACCAATTGTAGCAGCACCATACGCTAAAATTTGTCCCTTTTTAATGCATTTACCCCGTTGAACCTGGGGTTTTTGATGCATACAAGTATTTTTGTTGGAACGTTGATACATAACTAATGGAATCCTTAGAGTATCCCCATTACATGATAAAAGGATCTTGTCAGTATCGGTATAAATAATCTCTCCCTTGTGTTCGGCTTTAGCAAGAGCCCCTGAATCTAGAGCCACTTGGCCTTCCAATCCAGTTCCAACAATGCACTTCTCGGACTGAGAAAGAGGGACTGCTTGGCGTTGCATGTTAGAACTCATTAAAGCCCGATTCGCATCATTATGCTCGATAAAAGGAATGAGGGAAGCTCCAACAGAAAAATATTGGAAGGAAAAAATACTTCGAAGATGAACCTGTTCCCATGCAATAGTCAGGAATTCTTGATGATATCGAGCTGGAACAACCTGTTCTTCATGAATACCCTGATTCAAGGCTAAAGAATTTCCTGCTGCTACCATATAGTATTCATCTCTGCCCGGTGATAAATAAAGCATCCGCGCCCCTTTTGATCTCTCAGAAATTTTATAAAACGAACTTTCTAGAGATCCCCAACGACCAATCCTAGCATGAATTGCTAAGGATCCAATAAGTCCAACATTTATTCCTTCAGATGTGTCAATTGGGCAAATACGCCCATAGTGACTAGGATTAATATCTCGTATTGGAAAAGTAGCAGTTCGCGCAGTCAATCCCCCGGGCCCAAATAACTCAATTTTCTCCCATGAACTATTTGTGTCAATGGATTAGTTCGATCCAAAAGTTGAGATAATAGGTGTAAACGGAAAAAAAAAACTTTATAAGTATCTGTTAATGGGGTTGAATTTACCAAGTTCTAAGGAGTTGGTGTCCAGTTATGCTTAAGTGCTGCATATATGTTTCCTCGAGCCATATTTTCTAAATGAACCAAGGCCAATCCAAATTGCTCTTGTAAAAGATCTGCTACAAAACGCGGGAGGTGGTAGTCAGGCATGGAGTGTCGGTATCTGTGATCTCGGACCGTGATGTTCGTTTCACCTCTAGGTTATGGAGGAAGTTTCATTAGGAGTTAGGCACTCAGCTGCATTTCAGTACAACTTACCACCCCCAGACTGATTGGCAGAGTGAGCGGACAATCCAGACACTTGAGGATATGCTTTAGGCGTGCGTTCTAGACTTTGGAGGAAGTTGGGATACTTACCTCGGAGTTGGGATGTTACACTTTTCCACCACTAGAATCAAACCTCGCCCTTGAATTCATGCTCCGAAAATAACTCTTGGTGTTGTTCATGCATCTCGAACTCCGGCTCCCAAGTCCACTCGGATCCCTTTTGATGTTACCACTGGACCTGAACTAGGGGCACCTCATTATTCCATAAAACCTTCACCTTCCGCTCCAAGATCACTATCGCCCTCTCAATGTAATTCGGGCTAGCATGTACCTGAATGTCCTCTAAGGGTCCCACCGCCATCTCATAGGCTACACACTTCCTCAGCTGAGATACGTGGATATTGTTATGAATCTGGCTCAAATTTGTAGGTAGCTCCAACCGATAAGCTACCTTCCCCACTCTGGCAATCACTCTGAATGGGCTGATATATCTAGGACCCAACTTTCCCCGCTTCCTGAATCGGATCACCCCTTTCCATAGGGATACCTTTAGGAGGACAAAATATCCAACTTGGAACTCTAGCTTAGATCGTTGCCTGTCTGCGTAACTCTTCTGGCGACTCTATTCAGTAACCTCTTCTGACTTGCTGAATACGCTTGGTCATCTTGAGCACTATCTCAGTTCCACCCATCACTCTCTGCCCTACCTCTCCCCAACAGATGGGAGTCTGACACCTCCTCCCATATAAGAGCTCAAAGGGGGGCATACCAATACTAGAATGGTGGTTGTTGTTGTACGAAAACTCAGCCAAGGGAAAATAGGTGTCCCAACTTCCTCTGAAGTCCATAACACATGCATGTATAATGTCCTTAAGCGTCTGAATCGTCTGCTCACTCTGCCCGTCTGTCTGTGGGTGGTATGTGGTACTGAAATGCAACCGGGTACCCAACTCCTCATGGAACTTCTTCCATAACCTAGAAGTAAAGCACATATCTCGATCTGACACTATCGATGTTGGCACTCTGTGTCGTGCCACTGCCTCTCATACGTAGATCTCGGCCAATTTCTCTACAAAACGAGCTCTCACTGATAGCGAGGAAGTGAGAACTCTTCGTCAACTAGTCTATAATCACCCATATCGCGTCAACCCCACAAGCATTCCTCCACAACTTTGTGATAAAATCCATAGAAATATGTTCCCACTTCCACTGGGAATCTCTATAGGCTGTAACGGGTCATGTGGATGCTGGTGCTACGCCTTAACCCGACGATAGGTCAAGCACCTCTCAACTAACCATGCCATGTCTCTCTTCATACATGGCCACCATAATCCATCTTCAGATCCAAATACATCTTGGTGGCTCTCGGGTGGATCGAGAATCTCGATCTATATGCCTCCTCAATCAATATGCGACGAGCTCCACCTGTATAGGGCACCCAAATCCACCTACGAAAAGTCATAAGTCCCCGATTATCCATCTCAAACTCGAAAACATGTCCGATCACATGCTCCTTCTTACGGTTCTCCGGTCTTACGGCCTCCACCTGGGCCCCTCGAATGGTATCTAAGACAGGAGTCATCATCGTCATCCTCATACACACATCTCGGATCAGAGCACTCGCTGCTCCACAGATCAGGGCATCGGCTACCACGTTAGCATTGCCTCCGATAGTAGCCGGCCAAACCCCGAAAACTCTTGATCTCAGACGGAGATCTAGGCACCTCCCATCTCATAATTGCCTCAATCTTGGCCGGGTTTACCAATATCCCATTCAGATTAACGAGGTGTCCTAGGAACTAGACCTCTCGTAACCAGAAATCACACATAGAGAATTTGGCATAAAGCCTCTCTGTCCTCAATATTCCAAGAATATCTTAAAGATGCTCCTCGTGCTGCTCTCTGGACCTCGAGTACACTAGAATAACATTGATGAACACGATCACCAATCGATCCAAAATGGGCCTACACACCTGGTTCATGAGATCCATGAACACTGCCAATGCGTTGGTGAGTCCGAAAGGCATCACCACAAACTCGTAGTGCCCATAACGAGTCCTAAAGGCCATCTTCTGTATATTCTCTATGCAAACTCTCATCTGGTGATATCCAGATCTCAAGTCGATCTTGGAGAACCAATAAGACCCCCGCAACTGATCGAATAAATCGTCGATCCTCGGTAGTGGATAACGGTTCTTGACCGTCAGCTTGTTCAACTCTCGGTAATCGATGCACATCCAGTGAGCTACTCGGTCTGTTAAAACCCTTCCCCAATAGTTCCTGGAGTTGTGAGGATAACTCCTGCATCTCTGGTGGTGCAAGGCGATAAGGTGCCTTGGCAATATGCACCGCACCCGAAACCAAATGAATCCGGAACTCCACTTGCCTCTCGGGAGGCACACCCAGTAACTCCTAGGGGAAAACGTCCAGAAACTCGCACATTATTGGAACCTCGACAATAAAACTCGGTCTCTCTGTAGCAACCCGCGTATCTGTCACATACGCCAAAAAGCCTATACAATCCTATTGTAGACTCTGCCTCGCTTTGGCATCCGAGTAGAAAGCTGCTCCAGATGTTGTACCCTCTCCATACACCGTAAGCACTCCCCCACCAGGGTCTCATATGGTCACCATCTGACACTCACAGTCAATCACAACTCCAAACCGACTCAACCAATCCGTGCCCGTTATGACACAGACATCACCTATCCCAATCGACACTAGGTATATTGGGAACTCAACACCAAAGATCTCCAGTACAACGCCCCAGAATACATCAGTAGCAAAAACCGCATGCTCGTCATCTATAGAAACCCTCGGAGGTCGACTCAATGCCTCACATCGGATACTGATGTGATGACTAAAATCTAAAGGCACGCAGGATCGACTAGCACCCGAGTCAAATAACACCAAAGCAGGCACATAACTCACAAGAAAAGTACAAATTATACAACACAGTATAATCACAAAAAATCTCAAAATAATATAAATAAAGAAATACGTACCATTAACAAGATCTGGCGCGGCACGGACCACCTCCACTATCAGCAGAAATGCTCTCCCACGAGCCTTCGGAGGCTCGGCCTTCACTGGCCGACTCTCGGTAGCACGTAAAGCAGTAGGGATGGAACCCTGAACTAATCCCTAAATGAGATGAGGGCACTCGACCTTCCGATGTCCGATCTGGTTATAGTGAATGCAAACTGCAAACCCCTTGGGGCAATCCTTCGCCATGTGCCCTTCTTTGTCATATTTGTAGCAAACCCCTGCCCGACATGATCCCTCGTGACTCTTTCCGCACTTGCCACAAGTGCGGCCCTTTTGATCCCCAGATCTCATATCAGCGGGCTTAGCCTGCTTCGTCGCCAGCTGTGACTGCACTGGTCTCTGGTCCCTTCCTCGAGACTCCTCCTCTTCTCTGGTCTGTACCTCTAGCTCAATTTCCGACCGCCTGGCATTGGTCTGAAGCTCAACCAATGTCCGATATGACGAGTTCGCCATGAACTCCCGAATTTCTCTCCTCAAGATGCTCAAATACCAACTCACACGTGCCTACTCATTGGACTCGTACTCAGGGTAAAACAACACCCTTTCGTGGAACATCCTTGTAATCTCAGCCATTGACTCTGTCATCTGCTTGAGAGACAAAAACTCTTATGCCAAATGTTCCCTCTCCACCCGAGGAACATATTCATCTCGAAACAAATTGGTGAACCTCTACCAAGTCACTGCAGCATGATCTGCAAGGGTAAAATCAGTCGTCACAAACTTCCACCAGTCCTTCGCTTCCAAGTGAAGCTGGTTCAGCACAAACCGAACTCTCAAGTGATCTTGGCATGAACACATATAGAAGCATCCCTCAATGTCAGAGATCCATCTCATAGCAGCAATTGGATCCTGTGTCCCATCAAACTCTGGTGGCTTCGTGTTGCTAAACTCCCAGAACAACGAATCACCCTCATGTGGCCTAGCAGCGGCGATAGTTGCGGTGGCTGCAGCAGCAGCCGCCTCAGTAACAGCAGCATATCGCTCTTCAAATGACTCAATTAGTGTGGTCTTAATAGACCCAAATATCTCAAGTATCACCTCTCTAATGGTTGCAGCCACCTCAACTGCAATGATCCTACGGATCTCCTCATCATTGGTCTCACTGCTCCCGAGGTTGTGGCGTGTACCCACTATGATGTGTCTGAAGAACAACACAAAAATTATCAGAGACTCGCTCGAGTATACTCACACTCGATCACCCATCCCTACTTTCTCCTTAGCATCTTAAGGATTCTTACTTGGGTTGCATACAAATCCGATGGTTTCAGTAGTACAGGCCCAATACTACCTTCCACACCAACCTATAGTCACCCAAGTCCTCCT